AGGTTCCAGAAGCAAGCACAATCAAATTCAGATTTGTTGTCAGTGCTTATGGAATGGAATGTTCTAATTAAATTACATGTTTTTGTATCTAAGCCAATTTTTCCTTATTATTTTCTATCATAAAACTTATAGCTTGGCATCCGTGGCTCACATCTGTAGCACTAAATAATCAGGAGGCTGAGATCTGGAGGATCTAAGGATCAAAGCCAGCCTGGGGAGAAAAGTTAACTAGAATCCATCTCCGAAAATAACCAGAAATAGAAAGCAGGCATGGCTCAGGTGGTAGAGTGCCAGCCTAGCAAACGTGAGGTCCTAAGTTCAAACTCTACAATCACAAAAAAACAACTTAAGACATTGTTAGCTCATGCCTTCTTTCAACAAGTAGTTTGACATCCACAATTTATACTGTCTGAACAGAGACCAAAAATATCAAACCTTTGAAGGGTTATTTACAGTGTTAATAAGAGACAAAGTTTAATTAAAGCTCCAGTCATGCTCTCTTCCAGAGCAGGACCTGAAATACACACCGAATAGTGTGACATCATAACATGGGCCTATACTTACCATTGATTTGGCTTTAATATGTCCACCAGAATGATGGTGGACAGATTTTACACATGGTGCACTATTAAGTCCGAAAGGGTAAATAATCATCTTCATGATTGTTGTATGGGTATGGAGGCTGGATCACAGAGAAGTTAAGACTGCTGCCCAGTCACATAATATGTTAGTCAACTTTCCATCACCATTTAAAAACATACCCCAGACAACCAACTTGTAAAGAGAAAAAAGGTTACTCTGATTTACAACTTTGGAAATCCTAATCTGTGACTGGATGCCACTGTTGCTTTGTGATTCTGGCATCTCATCATGATGGGAGCCCAGGGTGAAGAAAGCCATTCATCTTGTGGCAAGAGAGAAAAAAATACACCAGGGTTCCATCATCTCCTCTAAGGGCACAGCCCCAATGACCTAAAATCCTTCCTTTAGGCTCCACCTTTGAGAGGTTCCACCACTGCCAATAACTTCACAGGTTGAGGACCAAGCCACACACACAAGAGGTCATTGGTGCACTTTTAAGATTCAAATGACAGCACATAGCTAGCAATTGCAGAGCCCAGAAATGTTCTGTTTTCAGTGTGATTCTCAGCTAATGCTGTTTTACCTTCCTGAGGACAGAGTTTCATGAATGAGGGCAGAGTTTCATGTGTAAGGACAGTTTGGCTGCTAGAGTTGACGAAAGGAGCTGCTACCCTCTAGTGGGTAGAGTCCAGGGATGTCACTGACCACCACACAGGACAAAGGATATCCAGCACAAAATGTCCACCATTGAGGAGCCCTGGTTTGCAGTTACCATTGTAGTGCCGTGTACTCAGAAAATAGGCTGTTGGGATGTGTGCAGATGGACAGCATATACCTTGTGGTTTTCACCTCTAAATGAATCTCTGCTGCCAACTCAAGTTGTTGCTCATTCTAAAATACTTTCTTGTTCAACACTAAATGCTCCAAATTATCTTAGAGAATTCTATTGCAAATTTTACTGGAGATGAGGAGAATCTTGTACTCTTCCCTTCGGTCCATCTACAAAGATATTAATATTCTGTCTACATCAAATTCTACCATCCTTCTTTTTATGGGTTATCTCTTAAACCAAAATTGCTCCCAAAGAATCTTTCTAACTCCTCCTCATTCCGACGTTTATAAGTTACTTCCCACAGCCTTAATTACTCAGCAGCTGTCCCCGCATACTGCTTTTCCTTCTCCCTTTCGCCCTGAAATGTGTGTTATCTCTAATAATGATTTTCAGAGTCTAGGGCAGCAATGTTTAATAGGATAGATGGAAGGGGGAGGTATATTTAAGGGATAGTGACATCACCAGCCCAGGACAGCTGCCTGAGAGGGAAAGTGTTCTGTTAGCAGAATAAAAGGCATGAAAGATAAAATACTTAGAAGATAACATGCTTCATGGAGGAAAGGGGAAGGGGCTTCCGAAAGAGCTATTAATCCATAAGCTTCTTGTCAACAGTGGTATGCTCAACATCTGTTGTACATTTATAATTTTAAAAAATTAGCCTCAAGGTACTTGGAATTTTCTTTGAAAACAGATTGCTCTCTGGGGTTCAAAAATGTGTTCTTTCAAGCCTAAAATTCCTGACTATACTTTTTAATGCACTTCTGAACAAATTAGAGCATTCTAGATTCACATTGTATATACTTTTGGTCAATATGACTTCCTATTTATGAAAGGAAAAAGAAATTAAAGAAAAAGACTCCTATTTTTCAATGTCTGCTTTTGCATATTAAACATTGGTTTCTGAATGTTTTACATATTAATTTTGTGTAAGCGTCAGATAGTTTAAAATACATGGGATAGCCAGGTGCCAGTAGCTTATTTCTGTAGTACTAGCTACTCAGGTTTGAAGTCAGTCTGGACAAGAAAGTCTGTGAGATCTCCAATTAGCTGAAAAAGCAGGAAGTGAAATTGTGGATTAAGTGGTAGAACTCTAGCCACAAGCGAAAAAGTCCTGGGACAGGTTCCAGACTCTGAAACCAAGCACCAGGACCAATCACAACCAGCCTCCCCACAAAAGCCAATGTTCTTGAAATATAAATGGGTTTGAAGATTAAGAAGTTTTAAGTGCTAGGAAAACTGTAATTATTTGTAGTTAAAGCAAAAGTATTTGAAAATCAGGTTTTGAAATTAAAACAATGTTTCCAGATTGCTAGATTTATATTTTTATTCTCTTTAATTTACTAGTAATATATGAACTGCCATAAGTCTTTTAAGATTATGTGAGTCTTTTGGATTGGGATTTCTGTCTTGTTTGTGCCTATACTGGGTCTTGAAATGAGGTTATCTCACACTTCTTGGCTTTTGCACTCAAAGCTGGTAATCCACCACTTAAACCACATCTCCACTTCCAGCTTTTTGCTAATCAGAGATAAACATTTCCAGATTTGTCTGCCTGGCTTCAAACCTTGATCCTCAGATCTCAGCATTCCAAGTGACTAGGATTTAAGGGAATAAACCACGGGCACTTGGCCAGATTATGTATTTTAGCAGGAACAGGAATCAGATTGTAGCTGGCAGAATTTCTATTTCTATTTTTCTTCTGCTACTTTCCTCTTCTCTAGTAAGGATCTAGTTTAGTAAAACAGAATGAAGTAGAGAGAAGTAGGAAAGGAAGAGGAAACATGTCCTGCTCTCCACACACAGGAAATGGAAATGAATAAGACTCTTTCCATTACTTTAAACTTAGACTCTTAAGAATTGCTTTGGGCAGAATGTGTCCTTTACAAACCCATGTGATAAGGTGTTCCAAACGTTTTTATAGGTTGGGTTTCACATCACACTTACATGCAACAGGAGAAAGTTGTTATTTCTACGATAACAAATACAGACAGTATCTCTATCTTTTATTTCTAAATAAAAGAACATGGGCTATAATTTTCCCGGGGGTGAAGCCAGAGCCTTATGTATGCTAAGCACATATTCTACTCTGAGCCCTACCCTCAGCTCTGGTAGTATTTTCTTCAATAGAACACTTTCTATTTTGGGTCTGCATATGTAAATGTAAAATGTGGGTCACAGAACTTTGGGTATAGTAAAACTAATTAATTAATTAGTTATTAGTAATTAGTTATTACTAATTAATTTATTAATTAATGCTTTCCTGAGTTGCCACAATACTGGGAGGTTAACCAACTTAATTTATCAATATTTTCTCTTCAAAAAAACACAATTGACCAAAAGAGCAAAATCTAGGGAATAATTTGATCTTGAATCACAGGAGAATAGTTAAGCTCAGTCACATCACCCTGGCCTTACATATTTAGGCACCAAAGAACAGGCAGAGACTACTGCAAATAGTTTGGTATTATCACTGTGAGATGTCCAGGCATGATCTTTTTGTTCTATACAATCACATTTATTACTAGAAGAGCATTTCTAGAAAGAGAAGTACCTGTAACATGTCCCACTATGTAACCTCTCTCTCTCTCTCTCTCTTAACTTCTCTCTCTCTAACTTCTCTCTCTCTCTCCTCTCTCTCTCTCTCTCTCTCTCTCTCTCTCTCTCTCTCTCTCTCTCTCCTTCTCTCTCTCTTTCTCTCTCCCTCCCTCCTTTCCCCTGTCTCACTTCTTTGTATGGGGAAGGAGAAGAGTTATACCAGTGTATGTTCTTCTCCCACAGTATAACCCCTGTTTTCACTGTATTTGTCATCAGTGCCCTGAATCTTGTATATACATTTTTCTAATTTGGGGATGGGAAAGGCAATAACAAAATGCTGAAACAAGGATACAGGTTGACCCATTGTAACAATGAGGTGTACAAGACACTATGTTGAAAACGAACTTTACAACTTGGGGGTGGGGTGGAGGTGAAGAGGTGGGGTGGGAAGGGATAGTAGAGGAAAAACAAAGGAGGATGTAACAATGCTTGATAGGAAATGTACTCATTACCTTACTCATGTAACTGTAATGCCTCTGTATACTATTTTTAACAATAAAAACATAAAAAAGAAAGCAACAAAACAGCACTTAGCAGCTGTAAGAAAAAAAGAAATAGGTGCTAAAAATTTGGCAAGTGGAAAGAGATAAAATTACCAGTTATTTTAAATGGAAGTCATTAGTCAGTTAGTAGGACTTGTACTTATTCTGGAAAAATGAAATAATAATCTGTCTGTTGGTTGAAATAAATTCTTGTATTATCAGTGCATTAAATTACCTTTTGATTATGTTATTGTGAATCCAGTATTAATCTTGAAGAGGTCTTGATGCCTAATACACTGTGCTGAATCTAGCCTGCTGCATTTTTCTAAGTTATAGATTTTTGCAGAGATTTGATTGATTATGATGTTGTTCTACAGAAGAATTTAAAAGTCTCTAGTTAAACCACAACCCTTTCAAATTAAGTACATTATTATCTAAGTCAGATGATTTTCCTCACAAATGTTTGGATATACATTTCATTTCTTTCTTTATTTCATTATATATTACAGGAACATCCCTCACTGGGCCAACTTTCAGCCAAACTAATAGACAACAACATTAATGTCATTTTTGCAGTTCAAGGAAAGCAGTTTCATTGGTATAAGGTATGTTCATTCCAAAAGCTAAAAAATTAGAATGTTTAATTTGGTGGGGGTGGGGGGGTTGGTGGGATTTTATTAGGATAGTTATGAGAACTAGAGGTAAGCATTCTAGAAGTATTACACATTGTATAATCAAAACTTATTGCTATATTACCTCAAGTATACTTCACAGTAACTTGTTACCATTTAGATATAAATTCTGTGTATGTTTGTAAAATGGAGGACCAAGAGCAAAGGGTAGACACTAAATGCTACTTGAGAATTATAGCCAGTACCCATGAGCACAGTTTGATATGGTGACAACATGTCAATAATAGGCAAGCTTTTTACCAAGTCCACATTCCATCACTGTGCTGTTTGTTTTTGTTTGTTTTCAGTTTAACCTTAGGGCCCCATACTAAATGTTCAACCCTTTACCATACTCCCATCTGTTTTTTCTTTGGTTATTGTTCAGATAGGGTTTTGTGCTGCCCTAGGCTCAAAACACAATCCTCCTACCTATCCCTTCTAAGTAGCTGGGATTACCGGTGCATACTATACCACAGGGCCTGGCTTATTAGTTGAGATAGGATCTTGGTAACTGTTAGCCTGAATTGCAGTCCTCTTGCTCTCTACCTCCTGGATAGCTGACTTTACAGGCATTAGCTGCTGCCATACCCAACTTTTGTCTGTACCTTTTATGTCTCTAGGCTGCTTCTACTGGGGTGTATGGGCCTGTCCTTATAGTGGGTTAAAGCTGGACAGTGTCAGTCTTCAATACTGTTTGCACATCTAGCTTTGGTCTAGGCTGCCCAAAGCATTTGTGTAGAATGTCGGTGGTGTGAAGAATCTTTTGTGGCAGATGAGACTCAGCACAGTAGATGTGTGCTGAGGGATCACTGTGGGGTGCCATGATACTCCCAACAGAGAGTGGTTCCCCATGCATTTGCTATTGTTTCTTTAGTATCTCCCATGGCATTTTAGTATCTCCCATGAAATTCCATTTTCTTAGTTTCCATGGCAACATGATGCCCTTACATTTATTGTGCATCACTGTAAACATGGAAGCTTTATCTCCTTTACTGTCTTTCCTTCTACCTTCTATATCCCTCTCAATGGCTAGGCTCCAGTGCTGTTTATTTTTATTTTATTAATTTCTTTCAGTACTGAGATTTGAACTCCTGGCCACACACTTATCTCATTTTTATTTTGGTTAGGCTGGCACTCTATTACTTAAGCCAGGTCTCTAGTCCTACTTTTTGACAGGCTTTTTTGGAGATGGGCTCTAGTTAGTTTTGTGTGTGTGTGTGTGTGTGTGTGTGTGTGTGTGTGTGTGTGTGGTTTGCTGGGTCCAACCTCAAAATACAATCCTCCAGATCCTGATTAGCTAAGATAACAGGCTTGGGCCACCAGCACCTGACTAGTGCCCTTTAATTTTTATTTTGTAAAGCTTTGTTAAGGAAACTCATTATCTTGCCTCAACAAATATATGAACTCATTTGCATTTGCACAAAGCTGCTGTGCCTTTCACCAGTTCAACCTCATAATTAACCTTATATTTACCATCCCAGAGCACGATTTTACTTATATCATTTCTTCTCTTGGAAATTCATAAAGAAGTTAATTCCCTTGTCTTTCGAATGCACAACCTATGGAAGCATTTTCCAGTGTAACAATAAATTACATTTTAATTTAACAACAAATTATTGTCTACTTGGTCCACACTAAATGGCCCAAAAGCACCTTAATAATAGCAGGAATAGATGCCACCCACTGAGTAGTTAGCTATTATCAGACATTGGGTTTAGAAACACTAATACTTCTATTCTCTTAGTTATTTATAACAATGAGGTCAGTGTATTTATTATGCCCATTTTAACATGAAGACATTTTAAGGGAGATGATGTGCTCTCTTTACCTCTAAACTTCATGGTTGACTTTCAAACATGATGAGACTTTTTTATAGCCTTGCCTCCTCTTTCTCTATGACTTACTTTTTAAAAATAATGTTAGTAGTTCTAGCTGGTTCTCTTCAATCCTTTGTAAACTGTAAAATCAGGTTCATTATTAACCAGACTGTGCACAGAAGTAAGGATCAGCATGTTCCATCCTGACCAGCTCCGAGAGTCCTGTGCCTGTTTTACAGCCAGAAAGACTACCCAGCAATTTTCTCACCCATCTTTCCCCTGGATTTTAACAGTCTTGTAACCCTTCTCTCAATCCATTCTGTACCTGGCTACCAGGATGAACCATTGAAATCACAAGTATGTCCACAGACCTCCCTTAAGTAAAATATGCCGAGGGCAGGCTCTGATTGAGGGGACTAAATCTCTCATGTGGGCAAGTAAGAGCATGTGGCCTCAACTTGACACTCCGGCTGCATCCCCTGAATGTTCCTTGCCCTGCGCTTGTCCTGCCAGTCCTGCTTCTAACCAGCCTCTGTATAAGTGCTCACCAGACATTCTCTTCCTTTCCTGGTTCCTTTATTCTTGCTACTCTCCTTCCTACACGTCTCTGGCAGCCATTTTTCTCTTATTCAGCAAGCTCTTACTCACCTGTTAAGGCAGATCTCATAGTAACCTCTCCAAGGAAACAGCGAGTGCTTTCCCAGCTCTGAAGTGCTTGGTGGACATCTCTCCTAACAGACCTGGCACGTCTCTGTTGAGTCATACAAATGTTGTATGAACTAGACATTACAATATCTGTGAGAATGTAAGGATAGGAACTACTTGGCTTTGCAGGTTAGCGTATCCAAAGTCACATATAATTAGTGCTCAATCAAAGTTCAAGAAATAAATCAGAAAACCCTCTAAGTGAGCGCTCTGACTGGAGATGCCAAATACTTCATGTGTAGAGTATAGCTGGCATACAGCAGGAACTTAGTGATGCTTATGAGTAGAGGCACAAGAAGTAGATTTCATGGTTTTCCCAGTCTGATTCCATTATGGTAAGTACCACAGTCACACCAGTTTCCTCTCAGCTAGACATTTAAGCCTTTGCTCACTCTCATGCTCTCCTAGAAATACCAAGGTCTGCTCCATAATTATTGAGCTCTCCTCATGGTGAGCACCTGCCACACAGTGCTCTCACCTCACACCGTCACTTTTTCTCCTGTCTGGCTTCCAATGACCTGAAGGTTATTCCATGGGACAGCATTTCTATAAAACACTTGTCTAAGTTAAATTATGAGGGGGAAAGCTGGGGAAATTTCCAAATTGCTGGCCTATCTTGAACATTTTGATTGGAAAATATACATTGTGAGCCTCTATGTGGAAGAAAAATTTGCCAAACTTCACCATTTTTTGCCTTCTGAAGCCTTTTAAAAAGCTTGCAAAGGCTTTGGGGGACCACTGATGTCTATCACATTTGTAGATCATCATGCACACATATTCACACATGCACTGATGCAGCCACACAACACTATATCCCAGGTATATCAGTTGGCCACCCTGTTAGGTAACCCATCATGTTTTTCATTCATATAATGACTCTTTCCATAATAACTACCTGCCACATGTTGAATCTTTGCTAATTACTGGACCTTTACCTACTGTTATCACTGTGTAAATGTTACTTATATGTATTCTAGGATCTTCTACCCCTTTTACCTGGCACCATTGCTGGTGAAATAGAGTCAAAGGCTGCAAATCTCAACAATTTGGTAGTCGAAGCCTACAAGGTACGTATATATATCATATGTGGGTTTTTTTCTCCAAACAATCTCTTAACCCCCACTTCTGGAGGAAATATAAACTAGTGGTGGTGAATTATTTTGCGAGGAGTAGTAGAAAGAACATAGGACTCAAAACTTGGACCTAAGCCCTCAGCCCTGCCTTTGCCATGATCTAGTAAAGTGTTTGGGAGAGTCATTTCAGCTCTCTCTGTACCTGGCTTTTGCCACTGACCGTGAATTGTTCAGATCAAAGGTTGTCCACTTGGCCTTCCAAATCTAATGCTCAATGAGTCACCAAATCATGACTGCAGGAAGCTCTTTAGTACCACAAAGCAGAGTTTCCTATGTCATAAAATAAGATATGCACAGTTTTTAAAAAGCTGAAATATGTCAGGGAAAAATGCATTGCCTTGGGATATAATTACTGACAAGACTGTGAAGGACACTGTGTTCCATCATGTGATTGTCCTAGCAATTTCATCAAAACTCTTTGACTGAAAGAATCACCTTAGTAGATTCAGTATTTTATTGAATAGATGGCCATATGTTGTTATCATGAGTCCTTGAAGAGTGGCTGACAGAGAAAAGAATAGAAGGAAATAATATGCTCTCAGAAATGGGGCATGCCTGGCTATGATAAATGCTATTACAATGTGATTATTCTTTCATGCTAACAGCTAGTCACTTTCTATACATGCCTTCATTTAACCTCACAGATGACCTATAAGGCAGGTGCTACTACTCCCATTGAGTATTTGTAGGAACACAAAAGTGCAGCCAATTACCCAATAGTCACACAAGTCACAAGTAAGAGAAGGTGTTCATTCCATGCCCAAGTGCTCCTGCCGTGTGATATCACTTGTTTTTCTTTTCTTACTTTTTAGCATGGTTTTGAAAAATATGCCTTATTCTTTCTTGATTGATGGGGCCAGTTATAGTAAAATCTCGCTTGCCCAATTCTTTAACTCCCTTTCCCACATGCAGAATTTAATAGAGTAAAAGAGTAGCCAAAGCATTTAGAAAAGCTCCAGCTCTCTTCTCTAATCGTCTTCAATATAAACCTGGTTAGATTTGAGTCTCTGGACATTTGTGTTCTCTGCAGAAGACTATATATACCAATGGAAAACAGAGAACAGAATTCCTTATATGTGTGAAGGACAGGTATGGGGTGTGTTAGCCCACTGATTAGCTTTACAGTAAATATTAGTAAATTCAACAAAACTCCGTCTCCTCATTATGAGTTTCCTTTATTTTTGTGGGTTCGTAGTTTCAAAATTTCATTTTGTCTTCACAATTCAACTGAAACAATTCAATATTCATTGGAGAATTACACATCAGGAAAAATTTAGTCTGTCTAAATACTTTTAAGCTAAACTTCATATGCAAAGTTTCATTTCTAAGTCCCCAAACTGAAAAACTTAAGAGATATTTCTTCACACACTGCTTGTAAACATTGGCCTAACTGGCTTCCATCTTAATAGAAGCAGGATTTCAGAAGGACAAGCTGAGAATATTCATTAAAATATTTCCTTCTCAAGGGAATTATTTCATATCAACATCTGTTTTTATTAGTTTATCAAAATGATTCAATTATTAGGTGATAAATGAACATATGATTGGGACAGTATTGCCTAATGCAAATGCTGTTAATGAATATTTGGTTCTAAGGATATACCCTCAGAATTTCATGATTGATTATTAATCAGTAAGTACATCTCTTATGATTGCTGATAAAAGCAGTAAAATCACCCAAGTAAAAAATTAAAAGCTGCTGGAAACTTTGCTTCTGACATTGCCACATACTTTTTCCTTCTGGGTTGGGGAATCTTTGCTCTGTCAAGAGCCGTTTGGATACTTAGAACATTATTCCAGAGCTAAACAAAATTATCAGTATAGGCAGATGGCCACAGGCAGCTGATGAGACCCATACATGTCTGTTTTGTCACATGCCAAATGTCTCCATGGGTTGTTTCCATGGATTTTAAATCCCACCCCTACTCCCTTTTTTCCTGTTTACAAGTTAACGATTTGGGGAACAAAATATGCATAAATTGGAAGGAGTTATTTAAGTAACTAGATCCATTGGAACTCAGAGATTGTGTTGGAAAAAATGAGCATGTGCCTGATGCATGATAGACATTAAATAGATGTTTGCTGAGTGAGTAATTGCGAGATTGGTTTCATCATAGTAGGAGGCCTTATTTTGGAATTAAAGCTTAGAACAAATGATTGATAGAAGCAACCAGTAGGGATGTAGGCCATTCTTGGAGAATCTTAAGAATCAGTGTCTGTCAGGTAATTCTTGTGCTGACAGTGTAGATGTGACTTCTCAAAAATGGAGCTTTCAACTGTAAATCCATAAGCACTCTGCCTTAGTCAGTGTTTGAAGTTAAAATGTTACTTTAGTAACTGTATGTTAGAAGTATGTTCCTTTTCTGTATGGTAGTACCATATATGAGCACCATACCTCAAACCTTGAACACAAACCTTGAACTAGAGACTTTTGTGTGCAGAGGAGTACTCCACCACATCAGTCATAGTTGCTCTTTGTCTCTGATTATTTCTGAGATGTTTGCTTTTTCGCTAAGCCATCCTGGACCAATTACTCCCACCACAGCTGACTGGATTAACAGGTGCCATTCACCATATTCGGTTTCATCTATTGAGATGGAGTCATAGGAACTTAATTGTCAGACTGGCCTAGAACTATGATCCTCTTCATCTAGGCTTCCCAAATAGCTAGGATTGCAGTATCTTATCTTTTAGCTGTCAAAATGTACTCTTTGTAATCATGTATGTTCCCAATGTTTTATTTGGATATTATCATAACATACACAAAGCAGTGGGTTTTAAAGGAATATTTTTACAAAACTGGCTAGGGAGAATTATTTTTGAAACAGTCAAATGCAGTCATAGTATACAGTATGCATGGAACAAAATAAAACCATTTAAATGGAGGTAATCTAACAATTTAGTAATTCTTACATTTTCAAATATAATCGGGTGGTTGTATGAAAATGCTGTTTCTATTTATCCCTTTGTAGAGATAGACTTTGATTTAGTTAAAAAATAAACCTGAAATGATTTAATAAGCTTGACTCTACTTTGTGGCTTACATTTGAAACTGCTTGGATCTGTAATTTAAAAATGTTGTCTCGGCAGAAACTCATCTCAGAGGTAAAAGTTCAGGTGGAAAACCAGGTGCATGGCGTTCTTTTCAATGTGACTGCCATCTGTCCAGATGGGGCCAGAAAGCCAGGAGCTGTTGGCTGTGGAAATGTGACCAGCAATGATGAAGTATGTGGCTGTGTGTTTTTCTCATTTAAAATAAATTAAGTTGTCTAGAATGAATGCTTTCTTCTAGGAAAAAAAAATCAACCATTCTGAAAAGCTTTCTTACTATGGATGGCAAGAACCTTATTTATATTTCAAAGTGACTTGCATTACCTCTCCCCAAAGTTTCTTTGTGTTTTAACTCAATTGACTGGTCTCCTCAAACTTTTAAGTTAAAAATAAATATATATGTGTTTTACTAAATGTTTGAGTTTTAACTTAAAACTTAGGTGGAACAACTTGCATAGATGCAATAATCACATCTCTTCAGGCAATTGGTGTCCATAATTATGATGATAAGTCTATCCAGTTCCAGTCTACTAATTCTCAGAGCAACTGTGAAATGATAAGCTACAGAACAGTTGAGAAAGGCTAAGAACCCAAAATCTTCTGCTTTGTGATGGCCTTGCTGCACTCATAAGGAGGTAGGAAATTTGCTTAGAGCAATCAAAAAGGAAAAGTAACGTCACTTAGCTAGAAAGGGTTGAGATCTAGAGAAGAGAGGCCTGGATTAGAGCAGCATCTGGAATAGCCCAGGACAACAGGGATTCCCCAAAACTGGTCCAATGGAGGGTAGCACATAGAACTGGCTTTTAACAAGAGTCCTTGTAGGTCTTGTAGGTGAAGCTATTCTCAGACAGTTGCTGACCTGTTGAGCTCCCAATTACCTGGTGTGTGTGTGTGTGTGTGTGTGTGTGTGTGTGTGTGTGTGTGCACTCGCGTGTGGGTGCGTGCAAGTGAGCATGTGTGTGCACACACACGTGTGCGCACATACACACATATATATGTGTGAATGCATGCATACCAATACTGGGGCTTTATCTCAGGGCCTCAAGCTCTTCCTTAACTATTTGTGTTCAAAGCTGGGACGTTACCACTTACATCACACCTTCACTAGCAGCTTTTGGCTGACTAATTTTTGATAAGAGTCTAAGATTTTCCTGTCTGTGCTGACTTTAAACTGTAATTCTCAGCTCTCAGACTCCTGAATGGCTAGGATTTATAAACCTGAGCCATCAGAGTCTGACTGAGTTACCTGATTTTTAAGTGAATGGCTTAACTAGATTTCTAGTCCCTATTCCACTCTAAGGTTCCATATGTTAGTAATTATTTTAATGCCATGCTGGTGGGAAAAAAAGAACAGAGATTGAAATAGAATGCGCAAAGATTCTAACATTGAATAAAAGAAAATTTTCCTTTCTCTTTAGTTAGAATTATTTTCCCCTCTTATTTTCCCCTCTTGGGAATTTTAGAATATGTAGGCAGTGTGATTTTGCCCACAAGCTGTACACTTTATTGCAAGTATCTCATTCTGTAGATTCTCCTTAGATTTTGTTCGAAAGGCAGATTATACCAGTTTATAAAAGGTATGCTGAATTTCCACTAAGTTGCAAAAAAATTCTAGCACACAAAAAATTAAGTAATTTCTTTCAAAAAAATCTTTCTTAGGTTTCCTTTACTTTTCATATGTTTTTCTTTCTTTCAAATAAGTCATCTATACAGGTTGACTCACAGAAAAAGACATCTGACCCCTAAATGTGTATGCCCCCAAGTTTTGCTCTAGTAGCAATGATCATATTATCCTGTACTTAAACCCTCTTAAAATGAAAAACATTTTTATTTTTCTAATTCAACCTCAACACCAATTGTATTTTTATATAAAATCATTCAATTTCCCAATACATATGAAAGTTTAGGTATAAATAATTTAAATCATGTGTAATATGATTTAGTACAATATAATTCTAAACAAAATGCCTAGCTATCAGGAGTTTAAAATTGCCATGAAATTTGGCTCAGTGTGAACAAAGTTATAAATGCCTTGTTTGCCAAAACACACAAAGAGAGTAAAGTGAGTCAATGAACAGGTATATTAAATCAATCATTTTATGTAAAATAAAAAAGTCTAAAAAGGAAATATTGGCAGGAGACAAAACCTCCATATTATCATCAAAAACACAAGTTTTGATAGCTTAGTAGGCCTTTATTTCTGACTGACTTTCTCCAACTGAAACATCTTAATGTCTGTTTGTTGAGGTCAGGGAGGGAAGGGATTATAGGAGAAAACAAAGGAGAGGGTAACAATGATCAACAAGAAATGTGCTCATTACCTTACTCATGTAATGGCAGCCATTCTGTTCAGCATCTTTACAATAAAAATAAAAATTATTAAAAAAAACTAAGAGGGACTGGGAAGGTGGCTCAGTGGTAGAGTGCTTGCCTTGCATGCCTGAGGCCCTGGGTTTGATTCCTCAGCCCACATAAGCAAAAAGAAAAAAGCCGAAAGTGGTGCTGTGGCTCAAGTGGTAGAGTGCTAGCCTTGAGCTGAAGAGCTGAGAAACAGCGCCCAGCCCCAGAGTTCAGGCCCCACGACCGGACCAAAAAAAAAAAACAAAAACAAAACAAAACTAAGAAATGGAGCTCTAAGCCTCTTTCTCTTGAGTAATATCACATAAAGCCTCTGATTTGTTCCATTTATGGCTTTTATCAATTAAAATTTGAATTTGACTGTGAAATCTACTCAGATGCCTGGAAAATAGAAGGAAAATAAAAGAAAACTCATTTTGAACACCTCCAGATATTAAACCAATAGATCAGATGCCTATTACTTTGGTTTTTCTGTCCCTAGTGCCAAATACTCAATAAGCTCACATTTTAAGGATGAATCCAGAAAGTAGTATGTTCTTTCCCAATTTCTGTAATACAGTAGCCACCAAAAATGGTATAAACAGGTACATCAGGTCTATTTAATGCTGGGTTAGTATTAACTTGCAATCATTAGTTCTTTTAATTCTCAAATTTACTAATTAGGAAATAAATTACATGAAAAAAGAAGAAATTTCATCTCCATAAGAAAATTTCATCTCCAAGATGGTATATAATTGATTCGAATATTAAACAATATCAGGTGCTGATTGGCTCATTCCTATAATTCTAGCCACCCAGAATGTTAAGATCTGAGGATGGAGATTTAACACCAGCCTGGCCAGTAAAGTACATGAAACTCTTATTACCAATTACCCCCAAAAGCCATAAATGAGGCTGTGACTCAAGTGGGCTCAAGTGGTAAAGTGCCAGCCTTAAGCCAAAAAAAAAAAAAAAAGAATAAAGCTCAGTGACAGTGCCCAGGCCCTGAGTTCAAGTCCCAATTCTCTCTCTCCCTCCTCCCTCCCCCTTCACTCTCTTTCTCTCTTTCTCTCTATTCCTGCCTCTGTCTGTCTGTCTCTCTCTCTCCCCATCTCTCTCTTAAACAGATATAAGTGAAGAAATATAGAAAAATGTAAATATATTTCCTTTCCCTCCCAAACACAGGTTCTTTTCAATGTAACAGTCACAATGAAAAACTGTGAGGTCACAGGAGGAAAAAGCTTTGCAATTCTAAAACCCATTGGTTTCAATGAAACCACTAAAATTCACATACACAGAAGCTGCCGCTGCCAGTGTGAGGAGAGCAGAAGGCCTGAGAGGCAGTGTGTGGATGAGGCCTTCCTGGATCCCAAGTGCTTGCACTGTGATGAGAGTAAATGTCACTTGAGTAAACACCGGTTTCCATCTGAGAGCTGCCAGTCACACAAGGACCAACCAGTTTGCAGTGGCCGCGGAGTCTGTGTATGTGGGAAGTGTCTATGTCACAAAATGAAACTTGGCAAAGTGTATGGACAGTTCTGCGAGAAGGACGACTTTTCTTGTCCATATCACCACGGCAGTCTCTGCGCTGGTGAGTACAATACACAGTTTTTCACTAATCACTGTCACACTTGCCTATGTGCTCGTGGGTCTTTAGGTCCCGTCTTAAAAATTGCCATCACTCAATCTGAATGGAAGGCTCAGGGTTTCACAGGCTCTTCGGAGAAGTCACAGCAACTGATCTACAGTGCATAACTTTATAGTTGGAGTGCATCAAATATCATTCTATATCAAAACCTAAAATAAGTCATGATCTTCATAGATGCCTTGACTGTGGAAATTTTTATACCAGGAAAGGAAACTAGTGATGATGGTTGTCATGTTTTCTAGAAGAATGAGGGTATTCTTCTACATGCTTCTGATTCATTCTGTCCAGTGGTCCCTCCCTCTAGCTTGCTCGGAGGATTTTATTTCTGTCAGTATGAAAGGAAGTGAGCTACCCAAATATGCTTTCCATTCACTAGAAAATTCTAAATGCATCATTATAGATGATATTGTAAGTGTGCCATCATTTAAACCTCTCCAGTTTATTTTTAGACCACCATCAATAACAAAATTGCCAAAGGACAGAATTCAAGAAAATAGTAAGGAATCTAGTGATCTAGAAGAGCAGTTTTCCTGACCCTCACACAGATCAAGTTTTCAAATGACATAAAAAAGAAAAAAACAAGATTATTATTATTATTATTTGTTTAATTGAGCTTACTGCCACCTACAGGCTAGTGTCCAGATTTTCTGGACAATTTTTGAAGATTAAAACAAAATACTGTTTAACAATAAAATACCTGTTATTTGCATTCCTTCTTGGGTATTTCCAGGACAATATAATACATTTTACTTATAGTAAAAAAAAGCATATTTCAGTATTAGCATAACACTGTTATAACACACCTGTAAAAATACATTTTCTACTCTTGTATAAGCTAAACTTGGTCTATATTACCTAAATTTACAATGACAAATTGTCTTTCCATTTTATTATATAGATAGAATGTCTTATATTCTAAGCACTTATTCAGCTGTGACTAGAATTTAGGTATTTGACTTTAGAATGAACCAGAAATTATCTACTTATGTTTTCTTTTCATGGGGCTTTAACTTGAGGCCTCACTCTGGCTTGGTTGTCTTTTGTTCTTGTTGCTGCTTTGTTTTGTTTTTGCTCACATCCATATTTTACCACTTGAGCCACATTTCCAGTTCCTGTCTACTTATTTGAAGAGGAAAGGAAATATTGTACTGGGAAGAGATCTGTGATCATTCTGCATAGCAATCAATCTGTGAGCAAAGTTTCAAATTCACTGAGAATCTCAATCCTTACAGGGAAATAGAAAATCTAAATGTGTTGACCCTACCTATGTACTTACAATACTACTGACCCATAGACAACTGAGAATTGACTTTGAGATGTTGTAGAATGTTGTATATGAGTGAAAATTTTAGAGATGATATGCTTGTTCTCCACTACTCCCCTTTGGAAATAAAAAAAACAAAACATGTTCACTAGTTAGCTGGCTGGAATTTAGCATGCAGGCTGCCCAGGGGAGCAAAATTTGGCAGACGCTCATTCAGCCTGGACTTACTAGCTTTACATGTAGCAAATTGAGCCATCTATCACAGTGTATGAGATAGCTAATCTGTGTGATACTCAGAAATAAGAGAGAGATAAGGTGAAGCAAAGAAGGGAGAGAAGACAGGAAGGAGAGAAGAAAACAGAAAGTTGTTTTGTCTATAGTCAAATAAGCTTGGGAAAAACTATGTAACCCTATAAAATGTACCTCTTTTGGAAATTTTTATTTCATATTGGCATATGAAATTTTTGGCACTTTCTGCAGTGTAAAATTCATTTAATTAGGCCTAACCAACATTTCCACAGGGAATTTGCTCACATAAGTGCCATTCCCCATCCTTTCCCCCATCCATCCTTATCTCCCACATGTCATCTTCCTCTTTTTCATTTACTACCTAAGAACAGCTCATGTCACATTCGGAGGATATGAAAGGATTTTTAAACTTCTCATGGGACATACTACGACCAACACTGAGGCTTTGTTCCATCCTCTCCTAAACTTACCATTAGCAATAGAAAGACTAATGGAATAGACTATAGAAGTCATTCATTGTAAGCTGGGTACTGATGACTCCCTCCTGTCAGCCTAACTACTCAGGTGGCTGAGACCTGAGGATTGTGATTCTAAGGCAGCCTATTCAAAAAAGTCAGTGAGACCTCTATCTCCAATTATCAGCAATAAACCAAGAGTAGAGGTGTGCCTCAATTGAGAGAGCACCAACATTAAGTCTAAAAGCCAAAAGTGGAATGTTGAAGCCCTGGGTTCAAGCCCTAATACCAGCATACCCACACCTTCATACACCCCAAAGTCATCAATTTAAAACTTCAAGTAACATGTTACTTCAACTTCTTCAAAGTGTTATTCTTTAATATAAAATCAAGTGCTGAATAACATCCAAGTATCCCTCCATATTTGTTGGCACAATATATTAGTATGGAGACATTATCTACATTTAAACATCTTTAAATGTACATATTCCTAAATCCTGGCATTGTTTAGTCTAACCTTGTAGAAAGTGATGTCTTTATTCACTCAACTGAGACTGTTGTCGGAGAGATAGGAATCTGGTTTGGGGACTTGTGGCAAAGTCAATGGTGATGGTAACTTAGGTCCTGGGGTGACCTCGTTGCAGGGCATGGAGAGTGTGAAGCAGGAAGATGCCAGTGCTTCGGTGGCTGGGAAGGGGATCGGTGCCAGTGCCCATCAGCATCAGCCCAGCAGTGTGTCAACTCCCAGGGCCAGGTGTGCAGTGGGAGAGGCACCTGTGTGTGTGGCAAGTGTGAATGCACGGATCCCAGGAGCATCGGGCGCTTCTGTGAACACTGCCCCACCTGTCCCACAGCCTGCAGTGACAACTGGTATGACTGATGCCAGCATAGGCAAAGCAGTCCTTTAGGATGGCTGCCTTTGGTTCTTCATTAGTCTATCTTCCTTAATCTCAGTAGTTGCAAATAACAATAATAATGATAATGATAATAATAATAATAGAATTAGAACCAGGTACCAGTGGCTCATGCCTATAATCCTAGCTACTCAGGAGGATGATATCAAAAGATCTTGATTCAAAGCCAGCCTGGGCAGAAAAATCAGTAAGACTCTTACCTACAGTTAAGTACCAAAAATAACAGAAGTGGAGCTCTGGCTCCAGTGGTAGAGTGCCAGCCTTTAGCAAAAGATCTCAGGGATAGAACCCAGGTCCTGAGTTCAAGCCCCAAAACTGGTACAAAAGAATGGAATAGGGAAATTTAAGAGCTAGAAACTTAGATCCTTATCTTTGGCCCACTAGGTAGCTGTAAAAGATTCAGAATAAATCTGCATATTCACTCCCATAGGTTATTTTCAGAAATAATTTCTGAAAATAAGAACCTCTTCCTAGGTACTTGTTTGATACACTACAAGTTGTCAAAGTGGGCCTTAGTTTGAAAGAAGAATGGTAATCATAATACCTTACAAGAGTTCTGTGAAACAATTAAATAATTTATATATAACAAAATATATTTGGTGCATAGTAATCACAGAATAATGTTAGCTATTGATATTGCATCTTAATTTTAATATTTTAATGATAATAAAAAGACTATGAAGCACTGTAAAAATCAACGGTACATAAATGGAAGATAATGTTAAATAAGGTAAAATTAATATTTTAAGATAATTAATAATTCATTTTCCTGTGAAATTCAAGACCCGCTCTAAGATTACAAAGTTAAATGTTACTTCATTTTCCTATTTGATTTATTCTGATTTTTTAAATATTTACTTTTATCAGATCATTAACTCAAGTAGACTTTTTCAAATTATACATAATAATTTGTTTAAATCATTTGGAAAAGCAGTATTTCAACATCCCAATGGTATCTTTTTTCCTGATGCGCCTCATTAAAATTTCAAATATCTCTTCACTATTTTGTTAATTTGTCCTTTAAAACGCTGTATTCTACCACCGTGTTAGAGCAGTAACTGTTTTCAATTCCCCTCACAGGAACTGTCTGCAATGCCTTCACCCTCACAATTTGTCTCAGGCGCTACGTGACCAGTGTAAAACTTCATGTGCACTTGCAGAGCAGCAGCTATATGCAGACCAGATACCAGGTAAACCACGAGCTCATCCTCAGATCACTTAACCCAGCAATAGAAAGGATCAGAGGGAAAAAATTCAAAATTAAAAAGTTAAAGGAAAACCTGGAAATTAGTGGCTCACACTAGTACTCAGGAGGCTGAGATCTGAGGATCATGCTTTGAAGCCAGCCTAGGCAGGAAAGTGTATGAAAGTCTTATCTCCAATTAAGCACCAAAAAAAGCCAGAAGTAGAATTGTGACTCAAGTGGTAGAACACTAGCCTGGAGCCAGAGAAACTCAAGGATAGTGTCCAGCTGTCAAGTTCAACCCCAAGACCTGAACTCAGGGCCTGGCCACTGTCCCTGAGGTTTGTTTGTGTTTTTTTTTTTTTCCATCAAGACTACTACTCTATCACAGCTCCTGGTGATGGTAATACCACTCTTGAAAATATGATATTAAATGAACCACTGAAGATGAAAAAAGTATCTAAAATAACCTATGCATATATACCTATACATACATGGGGAAAGATGAGGCAGAAGAGTTTTTTTAAGCTGATAATAAATATTACACAAGTTCGACCAGAAATGTACTCACTACCTTATGTATTTAACGTAACCCCTCTATACACCCCCTTGACAATAAAATTAAATTTAAAAAAGTAATACTGCACTTAATAACCACAAGGTAGGCTGAGAAGAAGCTAAGACTATTCAGAAACAAAATTTTATTAGAACTCATTGGGCACCAGAGACTAATGCCTGTACTCCCAGCTACTCAGGAGGCTGTGATCTGAGGTTCAAGCTTGAAGTCAGCCCAGACAGAAAAGTCTGTGAGACTCTTACTTCTAATTAACCACCACCAGAAGTGGAGGTATGGCTCAAGTGGCAGAATGCTAGCTTTGAAAAGCTAAGGGACAGTACCCAGGCTCTGAATTCAAACCCCATTACCAACATACACACACATACATGAAATTATTAGGTCTCAAAAGTCAGAACCCAACTTTGGACAGAGGTAAGAAATAGAAGGAATTAGAAATTAATCTTGAAATGAGGGTGTCACTGAAATTTCTCCTACTGTCTTCATTGAAACTACTTTTACTGTTGCAAGTCTCTCCTCCATACTGGAAGAAAAATCCCAGCTCTTAAGGAGATGTCAAAGCAGAATAAACTTTGTCTTGAGATTTGTTTCCTTTTTCCTTGTATCCACCCTCATCTTAACCCATAATGAATTTGGTTCTGAAACAGCCCCATATGCTGCCAGCTGGGACTGTAATACCAATGTAGAAAGCCAAGTAGTCTTTCTAACAAATAGGGCCCTTACTGTCAACATATCATTTATTACATGAAGTAAACACTATACTCCCTTAAATGTTGTTACAAACAGAATTTCCTTAAAGCTCCTTAAGAAAAGCCCTGGCCTGTCCTAAAATAAGAAAAGGATAGGCCAGAGCTAAATGTTTGACCCTCTACAGCATTTCAAAATTCATGCAAATCTGAACTCACAATAATGTCCTCTGTATTAACCTGCTAGAAATGTCTCTGAAATGTATTTAGTAGCTAGCGGGCTCCCTTCCCATTGACAACTTTTGTGCAAAGAGGGAAAAGGGGCATTGGTTAGGCTCCTCTTATTATCTATCCACTCAATCACACTTAAAGGGCCTTCCTTCAGTCTCTCTGGCTAAGCGTCTACCAGGCAAAAAGCCAGGAAATGGGATCAGATCTGTACTAGCTGGCTAGTGGCCTCAATCAGCCAAGGAACCTGACAGTCCATCAGGACAAAAGGCAAGAGGGCTATTAACCTGAAGGTGGCTGTGGGAGTTCAAAGGCCATCACCCTTCAAACACTACAGCTCAGATTCCACTGCCTTACAATCTATAAACATGAAAGTCTTACGCCAGGCACCTGGTGTTTTCACTCCAGTGAGTAACCCTGGGGTCTGTCTTTGACCTTCTTCTCAAGTTCCCTTTGAAGTAATTAAAAGAAATCCATCTCTATTCAGTCTTCATTTATGGAGAGGATCATTTGTCTTTGTCATTTGGGCTTTTGTGTTATTCAAGAGCATAGCTAGTTATCACTCAAAATTGGGACCTAAGTCACCCAGGTTTGGATGATGTGCTATTCTCAAGCTCTCTAAAGTCAAGGATGACTTCAACTTTTAGATGAGGTCCCCAAAGTCTACAGAAGTGGGCAGAGGAACCAATACCTTTTTAGGCCAGGAAGTCATTTATGAATCTGGAGCCACTGATGACTTCTGTGAAATACCCAGTATTGTGCAACCTTGTTCCTCTAAGATTAGAGTGATACCTCTGGCAACAACAGAGCCTGCAGATTTTCCAGTGAGAGTTTTGCCAAAGGTCTGTTGCTGAAAGAGAGAGAGGTCTCAGCATGCTGCAATTCTCACCATGGCATTGGTATTGCTTTCTCTTGTATTTTTTTGTGGTCAGAAAAGAAACACGTAATGAAATTTTGGAAGCAAACAGAATAGATTCAGTGAACAGACAAGTAAAAATTCAATTAATAAAAAAGTGAGGCAAGAGCTTTGTGTATTTTCCCAAATTGGACACTCCTATTTCCTGGTGAAGCCATGTGTAACAATAATGAAATCTTACACTGAGCTTTCAGAGGGAATATTTATGCTTCAATTAGAAGAGTACTGAATTTAGCTTCTATAGATATTTGCTGTAGTTTCCATTGCTGGTATTCAGCAAATGAAGAAGAAGAATAACAAAGGAAACATATGCTAAAGCCCTGAACCGTGAAATAACTTTTTAAAATGCCATTTTTGACATAATGCCCAACAATAACTCACGCACACACGCACACACACACACACACACACACACACACACACACACAAACTCCCCCTTTGGGTAAAGGACTTGGGCATAGCCCATCTAATATAATTACAGAATCAAGTTGTAAAGAAATAATGCAATAATTTGTGATTATTCTCCAAAGGAAGGTTTTCTGTTGAAAACATCTTAATAACAAATATGCAATAAAAGTTAAAGTTGACTATTTTGAATTCAACAGTAATTTCAGTCCCTTGTTTTTTTCAGAAATTCAGATTTGTGAATATCTCTGGGTCTATTCATTGAGGTGTAAGCAGCCTGGACTTGATAGAAATGTTTGATTTATCCCCTTGACGTGTTTTAAACCTGTTTATTTGTTTGCTCTCTTGCAGAATGCTTATCTACTCCAAGTTACTTGAGAATATTTTTCATCATATTCATAGTTACATTCTTGATTGGGTTGCTTAAAGTCCTTATTGTTAGACAGGTGATACTACAATGGAATAGTAATAAAATCAAGTCTTCATCAGATTACAGAGCATCCACCTCAAAAAAGGTTAGTGAATTTTTTTTAAAAAAAGGGACAGTCAGTACATTATGATCTAGTTACAATATTTAGGCCCTTAATTACTAATTAATTAATAATGCTATTTCTTCTCCATCAAGGATAAATTGCTTCTACAAAGTGTTTGCACAAGAACAGTAACCTACCGACGTGAGAAACCTGAAGAAATAAAACTGGATATCAGCAAACTAAATGCTCATGAGACTTTCAGATGCAACTTCTAAGCAAAGATAAAATAGTATTCTATGGGAAACTGGATTTTTAAAATAATTGCTACTAAAAAAATAGTCACAGGAGAAGACAAGTTGTTCAAGATTGTGTCCCTTCATGGTTGAGTGCTGGCAAGCATCATCATCGTCATGTGATTCACCTAGCTGCTGAATTTTTCAGAGAAAAATATGTCTTACTACTGTTTAAAGACTAGTGTCATTGTAGCACTTTATTGTAATATATAACTTATTTAGAGCAGCATAGAATGTAGGTATTCTGAAGAGCACTGATTACACTTTACAGATACCTGCCCTTCTTCTGCTTCCTTGAGAGACACAATGTTCACAGGCAAATTAGCACTGTGTCTTTGCAAGGATGCAGTGATCCCTGCACCGAGCATGCAGGTGAGAAGTATCTAATCTGGCAGTTCCATTCTGAAGTGACTGCACACTTCAACAATTGGAAGAGGCTAGACAAGAACAGTCAGATGAATAAATAGTTAGAGTTTCACCCCTTCAAGAGGTGGACAGAGTCTTAATTGTAATGGGTTTTGCTTTTGAAACTGTATAGTTTGTTGCATGTGTATTTATGTTTGCCACTTTTCGAAAATGGATGCTGAATCCAACCTTCTCTTCTTTTGCCATTTATGTTTTGTTTTTCTTCCTTTCAGGATGTTTATGTCACAGATGACTGGATTTAATAAGTGCTAAGTTACTACTGCCATAAAAACCTGTAATACATTGTCACTTTATTAGAATACTAGTTGTAAAAGCTGAATGTTAATAAGGGACACTGTAAAGTATCTTCTAAATCTAAAGGGCTTTGTTGTTTGAAGATGAGGAGTTTCATATGTTCTTACCTGGTAAACTGGATGATTTCACCATTTCATTTGATCTAACAGTGAATTGAAATTGGTAAACTGAAATGCACAAGATATTTAGAAATTCTGCTTCTAGTCAAATACCATATTTTAAATGGGCTTTCTTAGGTCTTGATTTCAAGTAGATATCAACATTTCTCAAATGCAAAACTATTCTTTTTTGCTCTTCCATGCACCAAAAGACCTTCTTGCCCTGAATCTACTGAACCCTACTCACCAGAGTTCATAAAAGTACAAAATTGGAGGAAGGTAGGTGATAAGGTAAGGGATTCAGAATAAGCTAATTCCTCCTTGCAGTTAGCCATAGAACTGAGTTTAGAAATTTTAAATGATTTCTCAAAAAAAAAAAAACCTCAAAAAAACTACCCAAGCAGTAAAGTGACCACATTAGAAATTAGCTGCCTTCTCATTACAAGGCCAGTGTCCTTTGCACAATATCATGCTACCTCCTGAAGTTTTAAACATTCAATTGGCAACTATTTTTAAGTATGATTTACTGATGTCTTAAGTATATGAGAATGAGAAAATTTCACAGCACATTAAGTTAAACTGAATGGTTCATAATGGGTTTCCAGGCTTCTCTGCCCATCCCCTCCCGATAAGAGACTGCAGCATAGCATAACAACAGGAGAATCCTTCCTTCACATCCTAGCCCGCATAGCTCCCTGCTAGCCTCCAGTGCTCCCTGGAGTTGTCACTGCTCATCTCAAAGCCCTGATACAGAGACCCATGAATTCTAACTTCTAACTGTCCTGTGTGTAGTTCAGAGTTACACCTACAACTAAAGAATTCACTTAAAAATATGATCTAATAACTAACCTCCTGTATTTGCTGTCTTCCAGAACCTCAGTGAAATTCTAGATATTTGCATTATAATGAAGATTTACTTCCATTCTCCTCTAAAGAGAACTGAAAAATACATAAATTGTTCTAGATGCAACAGATCCAGACTGCAACAAAGCAATTAGGATGTTAAACTGAATTACATTTCTTTCCCTAAGATAAAAAGATTAGGGGTGTTTTCCTAGTTTAGTACTGTGATTCACTTATGTAAGAAAATACTTTGGTCGCTAATATATCAGGCACAAATGGCTATAATCATAGTTACTCAGGGACTTGAGACCTGGAAGACCTCAATTTGAAGCCAACCCCTGGGGCATAAAGGCTAAGTGACTTCATCTCTAATTGTCTAGTAAAGGTCCAGGTTGGAGGTTTGGTCCATGCAGTGAAGCATAACAGTGATGAGAAAGAAAAGCATCTCCAAAGTTGCAAGGACTTGAATTTAAGCCTTAGTAAAAGCAAAAAAGAAGAAGAAAGTGTAATGAAAGCTTTGGTCACTGAAGATAAAATAAAAATTACATTTTATCCTCTGTCACCTATAGTATTCTTTGATAAACACAAACAAATGGATACTTGACAAGTCACTAAGAGGAAAAAGTAGAAATAAAATGTTGATCATTTAAAAATGAACATTACAGTGTTTATACAAAATAATCTCACTTCTCTGTGTAATGAGCAAGAGAGCATAATAAAATGAAATCATAAAAAATCAAAGGTTTATATTTTCCAAACCATTATTGTTTGCACTAACTTAAAATGGACCAATACTGGTACCACAGGAAGTAATTTCAGAGCTAGGTGATGATATGTAGTTAAACTCGGGATTTCTTAATGCTTCCTTTTAACCTTTCTTAAAGAGCTAATTCTTAATGACTTTAGAGGTTATATTTTACTTGAATAATTATGTAGTGCATTGTAAGGAGAGAATTATTATTTGACTAGTTAGAATTAATTAAAAGGTGATACAGGGTATCCTTAGATTTAATAACATGTAAATAGAGCTCACTTTCAACTACTATGAACACAGGAGCCTTTTGAGATTTATTGATATTAAACATGACTAATCGAATCTTAAATTATTAGCAAAAATTAAGAACTTGAACAACATTTTTGGTTCAGAAGCATATTTTAGGTTCTAAAGTAGGTAACAATTTAAAAAGTGCCATATTACACACACACACACACACACACACACACACACACACACACACATAAAGCTGCAAGCAACTTCTTTCTCTGAGACATCTTTATATTGCAGTGCAAAAATGTTTATAGAAATTTGCTATATGTTTGGAATTTTCTACTATTTATAAAGCCCTCTACATTCTTTGGCAGACTTAGGAATTCACTGAAAATCTGTCCCAAATGTTCAATTTAACTTTTGTTTAAAAAAATTAACCATAAGTATATCTGGGGATTAAATTTTAAAAAAAATCAAAGATAGTGGATGCATCAGATGCAATACTTCACCAAAGAATAAAATCACAAGTATTTGTAATATCTATTTAATCTCTTTGGAAACAATTCTTGTGAATAGAAATGGGCATCCATAAAACACTGAAATATCTTATGATAAGCTATGAAAATTATAGAATCTTATTGCTCCTGCTAACCTGGTAAAGTCAATTAGACTTTTCTGGCCTTTCCTTCCTTTCTTGACTCTTGTTTTCTTTGATTACTTTGCCCAAGGAATTGCTCAAATGCTTCAAGCTTACTAACACTCATTGTGAAACAAATGTGAAACAAATGACTATCATTTAATGGTATAAATATTTCCTTCTCTCCGAAGACTTTGTTGATTTTAACATACATTTGAATCTGAGAGACCAATTAAAAGCTAAGAATTGTAAGTTTTCATAATGCTTTCCATTCTGAAGGATTTGAGACCTATATGTTTTCATTAAAATAGCAAATGAAATGCAATTACACAGCTCAATCATTGTGCATATATTGGCTAAAGAGCTCCATTTCATGCCATTCAAACCTCTTCAAAGGAATATATAACTAGCATTCTCTCAAATCATTTCCTTTTTCTTTTCTTTCATAACTCCTCCATAGCAACTGTCTTATGTGCAGCTGGTTATATATATCCCTATATGTGTCTCATTAATTCTAGGGCACTCACATTTTTTTTTTTACTTTTTTATTTTTAAAATTTTTGCTTATGTGATGCTGGGGAATCAAACCCAGGCCTCATGCATGCAAGGCAAGCGCTCTACCACTGAGCCACCTTCCCAGCCCCGGGCACTCACATTTTAAATGTAACATTTCTATAGCTGTGATGTCTCTTGAACTTGTTGGCAACTTAGGTATAGCTTGGGTGGTATTACACTAATTCAATTTTAACTAATCAGTCATGGATGTAGGGATATTCTTTTTCTTATCAATGTTTGTGAATTCGTTCATGATAATGTGTGAGGCTGATTTTCAGTGTAACTGAATCACATGCAACTCCATTTGGAGCCTAAATGAATATAGGCTAAAATCCTGTGTACCGAGAACTTATGAAAGCTTCCAACTTCTGTTTATGTTTTGTAGTAGTACTTGTCATTTCAGCAAAGCTATCTAGCTATCTTAATTAACAAGAATGGGTGGTTTTCTCACAATTTTCTTAACAAAATTCCTTCTATTCCTTTCTTTTGTAAAAATCATCTCCCTTTTTTAATCAACTGGAAAAATATTACATGAAAACCATCACAATAGATTTTACAGCATTTTGTATGTCTTATGTCAATGACAGGAGAAAAATATGATGCAACTTTCAGTTTGTGGAAAACAACTCTTGTCTTTGATCTTTGCTTTTCTTATTTGTCTTAATCCTTTCTGTTCATTTGAGATGTTCCTCAGCTCAGATAAATTTCCTGCCAAGCCCATGTAATGATGATTGTAAAACTGCATATTTAAGTTATTTTAATTATGTGAAACAATTGTTCAACTCTCTGGGCAGCTTTTAATGAAATAACTGAGAGTAACAACACTACTCTTATATCTACCTGACATACTTTTCTGAATAAAATTTACTTTTGTAAGCTAACTCTTTTAATTGGGTTTCTAGCTTCTCTCACTCATTTCAGTTAAAATTGCCGACCAGGACAGAATAACAAAACCACTGTGACCATCAGGGTGGAAATAGGACCTGCCTGAAGATCCTTTACTGAATTTGCATTGCCCCACGGACAAATGTGACTGTGAGACAAGATGGTACAGAGATGTTATTAAAAATATGGAGTGCAAGATATTTTAACTCTAAATTATGAAAAGTGCAAATTTGTACATATTAATATAGAAATTCAGTTTGTGTATATTTAAATCTTTAAAACTATTTTACATTTGCCAGCTGCTTTGCTAAGGTTCTTATAAACCTCTGCAAAAATAATTAGAACTGTTCTTAAATTATCAGTGACATAACTTTATTTTGTTTCATTTAACAGGTACTGCCTTTGTAAAAAAATTTTAATATAGAATGTATTTTTAAATTAAAATATTTGAATATACAAGAGCTATAAAGAGGAAACAAATTCTTACTGGAGATGTTTTGTATTATTTCTGGCTTTGTACTACACATAAAGTTAAATTGCCTTAAATGACAATGGAGATTGAGAATATGATTATTTCACATAATATACTATGAACCTGTTCACATAACTGATTGACTACTAACTTCTGTTTTATGTATTTATTAAAGAGCTGACACTGTAGATTGTTGTGAGATGTTTATTTTTCTAACAGAGCTTAAAATAGTTATGACAAGGCATTTAATTAATGTACCATGTTGTTTAATAGTAGATCTTAATCTATGTGAAATTTGTTTTAAAATAAAAATGCAAGAATATAAGAATACACAGAATGCTTCTTTATCATGTGTTTCATGATCTTCAAAACTGCCAGACAAACATCACATTGTCACATGAGAAAATGTGGTAATCCTCATGTACTATTGTTGGCAGAGTGCATTGCATAGTATAAAACCTAAAATATTGCAGAGCCAAGCATGAAGAGGAAGGAATGATGCTAATTGTCATTTTCTCTTTTGGTAGCAACATAATTCTAGAAACATAGAGAATGGCAAAGAACTAAATATATACATATATACATATATGTGGAGAGAGATCTATATATCTTTCTATAGATATATCTCTATACTTAGATCTTTATCTATCTATATCGATTTATCTTTTAAGGCCCCCAAATTCTGAGTACTCTACTTTGCCATTTGCATCCTGAGCTCCAATACACTCCTCAGCTTTCCAAGAAGTTGGGGGGGGGGGGAATCAGTTCTGTGGCTGTGGACAGAGAGAGAGGAGAGGACCGCCCTTGATGCTAGGATGAACACAGAAGCTGCTTCTGAGAGAAGCTATATATTGATCTTTGTTGGGATGTCTGTCCTTGTGTCAATGAGTAGAGCACTCTGAATTTGGGGGCGTAAAATATACAACTATATAGATAGATTTAGATAAATCTATCTATACATATATATGTATGTATATACATATATACACTTATAAAACAGACCTTTTCTACCTACAATGGACTTCTACTATTAAATGTATAGTTTAAGTCTTAGTACAAATCTAACATATTTATAAGCGTCGATTGTAATTTCTAAAGCCATATTTAAACAAATGTGTTAAAAATCTCTATGTTGTGAGTTTTGCTTTATTTAATCTAAGCTAAAGAATAACAGAAGGATTGTGCTAGAGAGATCAGAAAGAATCTATGAGAAAATCAGTCTCATAGGCCTTTGTTGGAAATCCACCCAGTTGGGTTTGAGCTGCAGTCTTTCAAGGCTTGCAGTCCGGGTTTTGTTGTGACTGTTATTAGCCCCATTCCTCCCCTGACTCTTGAGGAGGCTCTACCTCCTGAATCTCAGTAAAGTATAAAATTGAGACTGAAATCCAAGATTCCTTTGCAACTAAATATAAGTACTGCCAATCAGTATCTAAAGATAAGTACCTAAACACGGCTATAGTGCCACCACCTGCGGTTCTCACTTTCTTTTTCCTTCTATCTGAGACAGCCAGCGTAAAGGATGTCTTGTCCTGAAGCTGTCCGAATTTCCCCATTTACCTCTAATGTTCATGTCAGGGCAAATCCTTGGAAGGTTATCCTTCTTCATAAAATCACTGCATTTGACCTTCTTGCAGAAAATCTGCACACTCACAGCAGTAGTCAATGTATACAACTGTCTCACTGAATCCTCAGCAACACAAATACATTTATCCTTGATTTTCTAAATAAGAAAAGGGAGATGTAAAGAAATTAGGATCTCACATAAATAAATCTAAGAGTCTAACTAAGTGGCAGGATTCATTGTGTTTCCATAAATAACTGACCATACATTGTGCACATAGATTTTACTAGTTACCATAGGTTAACAGTTGTCCTCATGCCACCAAAAGCATATGTGATAATAAAGTAGAGTTAATATATGTGCCTAAATACTACAAAGGAAGAAGTGAAGTGATTGAGCCTGAAAAATGAAATTGGAAGTGCACTTTGATGCCAGGATTAGAAGAGTTTTAAAAGTCCATGGAAGAGCTGAGTACTGGTTGCTCACACCGCTAAACCTAGCTACTCAAGAGGCTGAGATCTGCGGATCACTGTTCAAAGTCAGCCCAAACAGAAAAGTCCATGAGACCCTATCTCAAACTGGAAGTGGAGGTGTGGCTCAACCTGGTAGAGTGCTTCCCTTGAGCAAAAAGAACTCAGAGTAGCCCCCAAGCCCTGAGTTCAAGCCCCATGACAAAAAAAAAAAAAAAATCATGGAAGACGGTGCTGGTTTTACAGGAAAGATTGGCAGCATTGATTTGCAGAAATAGTAAATAGTAAAGCACGACCAAAGGCAACAGAGTCTAGACTTCATCCATCAATGTTAAAAATCTTATTGAGATACAATGTGGGACAATGAAAAGCAGTAACTCAAAGGTCCTAGGTTATTCAGACCTTTATTTCTAGACCAAGAATATCAAGTTTCCATGGCTAGGAAGGAAAAATTTTTTAAGATTTTACACAGCAAAGAGATAGTATTAGAATTTAATCTGGTTGATATGTACTTACTGTGTAAACTATAATTTTTAAATATTGATTCATGCTCTCTAATACCTTCTGTAAATTTTATTTGGTGCTCTGAAATACTTAATATTATTAAATTTAATTTGAAATTAAATACTACTTAAGACTAGTGTGGGAAAATATTGAAAATAACATTTACCTAGTGACAATCATTTTCATGTGTAGACTTATTTTTTGTCTTTTATTCTGTGTACTTTTTGATTGATGTTATTCAGAGTACATGTTTATTTTTTTAAAATAAAAAATATTTGGACATTAAAATTAAAGTAAAAATTAATCTAGCCATACAGTTCATTAGTTTGTTTGGCTTCTACCTTGTAAAAGAGTTCGTTTTCTTTGGGAAAAAAAGTACCAAATATTTTTGCATGCCAAGATGTAAAATTTGTAATAGGTGGATAGCTTTCTATCCTTATATACAACTTCTCAATATACAATTGAGAAAAGAATAAGCAAGATATGATACCAAGTACCAAATATTGGTAACAATCTCAATATTCAATATAGGAAGATTGGTTAAATAGTCTGAATGGAATAGATTTGAACAAGTACAGAGAAACGAATGTTGGTCCTGGGAAGGTCTGAATAAATAAAAGATAGCCCTAGGGAACAGGACATTTCAAATTGTAACATGTCAGAGTCAGTGACATGAGCATGAGGACTTTCCATAAGCAAGAAAAGATCTGGAAGTAGTAAGGGAGTGATCTTGAGTTACTGCTGCAAGAGGGACTTGAGAGAACTCAGGAACTGGCTCCACAAAGGTTAGAAACAAAGGAGCTAGTCAAAGAGAATTCGAAGGCCAACTCCAAAAGTCACTACAGGCTTCTCTCCAAACT